ACCAAAACTTGCAGTAGGTTCCAAGTTCAGAGGTCCTACAGCCATCAACGGAGGAACAAGCATCATCACAGGTCGATGGCGGGGATTCGAGGCATCTCACGGGCTCGAACGAGTCGCAAGTATTTTCCTCGTCATCGGACTGATAACACTTCGAGTCACCATTGTGATATAGTCCAAAGCAGTGACCATCCTCCTTGCAATAGGACTGTCCACATCCCGAAGTCTCAGAGCAATAATCCTCACAGTATTCGTCAGGGGTAGTCGCCACGTCAGGAGTAGGAGCCGCTGTAGTCTCATCGGACTTACCACCGAACGCTAGGGAAGAGGTGGCAGTTAGTGAGAGGGTCAATAGACGGAGGATCATTAGAGAAATTGAGGTTTATCAACCTGATGAACTAAGGATCGAATTACGACTTACCCCATCATAACTGGAATAGCGCAGATGTTGTATCTAACCGTTTCACTTTCTCACCAACACGCATATGCATCCTTGGGCGCTCGCGGCCTTCAACAGTCTACCTCGGGTCGTCACGGGTCGCAGCTGATCCGAGCAATTGCATGGTCACAGCGGTCGATTCAGCGCTGCCATACCTAGGTTAAGTAGCCTTCCGTCAGGGAAGAAGCCTCAACCAATAACCCACAATCCCACAGTGACTGTATGGCAGACTGGGTGGGGTCGCGAGACGCCTGACACGCGCCTGGTGATATCCTGCATACTCATTTCTGTACAATCCAGGACGTGTGAGAGATTCTTCTACGACCGCAGAAAAAATTTCGAGGTATTTTTCGAGACGATTCGAACCTCGATTTCTGTTAAATAAGCATTCGCTCTATAGAACACACATCTGACACTCGTCTCTTCCATTTCGTCTCGAAGTTAGAAACGAACTCGATGAATTCATTTCTCACAACTTTGATTTCGCTCTCAATGCACGCAGGGCTCTCCATACTGTCAGTTCGATGATTGTGAGCTCCGTTACTCATGAATGGACACGTATGCGGGAACGCAGCCATTGAATATGGAGATTTGACAGTATTATCCCACGGTTGATCATTCGACAGGGCTCTAACTCTTTTTGAGCGAAAAAAATGAATTGCATGAGCGTCAGTTGTACGCAAGCACCAACCATTTATTAAGATATTGCCGTGGCTATTTTATTCAACAGCTCAAGCCCTTCTACCAGGCTATGGGATATTGACTTCTGCTGGCGCTCCGATCGCGGCCTCGTGATGTTACCGCTTAAATGGAACTGTCTCGTTAAGCACCCAACAATCTACGTATCCACACAGCCGATAAATCTCTCAGTTAACTATAGGAACAAAACACCAGCCGAACAGTCACACAGTTTAATCTCACCGATGATCGGTTGTCACGCATTCTGAAGCAAAAATAAAGCATTGATCCTCTTACTTGGAAGGGTCAAGCGCATGGAGCGCGAATACGAAAGTCAGCATGTGGGGAATGTAATGTAACAGACGTTGTCAGAGCAGCTCCTATGGAGTGCACTCAGGAGCCTGTTTAGTACTAGATCGGAACCTCAGCGGTCTCTCCGGCAGCCTCAGTGGCCTCGACCGGAGCGGCAGTGGTCTCGACTGGTGCGTCAGTGGTTTCTACAGGAGCTTCAGTGGTCTCGACCGGAGCCCCAGTGGTCTCGACCAGAGCCTCAGTGGTCTCGACCGGAGCCTCAGTGGTCTCGACCGGAGCCGCAGTGGTCTCAACCGGAGCCTCAAAGGTCTCAACTGGTCCCCCAGTCGTTCCCACAGGAGCTTCAGTGGTCTTGACCGGTGCATCAGTGGTTGCTACAGAAACTTCAGTGGTTGCTACAGGAGCTTCAGTGGTCTCGACAACAGCCTCAGTGGTCTCGACCGGAGCCGCAGGGGTCTCGACCGGAGCCGCAGTGGTCTCGACCGGAGCCGCAGTGGTCTCGACCGGAGCCGCAGTGGTCTCGACCGGAGCCGCAGTGGTCTCGACCGGAGCTTCAGTGGTCTCGACCGGACCCTCAGTGGTCTAGGCCGGAGCTTCAGTGGTCTCGACCAGCGCTTCAGTCGTCTCGACCGGAGCTTCAGTGGTCTCGACCGGAGCTTCAGTGGTCTCGATTGGTGCCTCAGTTTGGGAACCGCAGGGGTAAGGATCACCCTCGCATGCCTCATCAGTCGCTACAAAGCACAAACTGCCGTCATTCTTCTTGAGGATGCCATAACACACTGGATCATCCAACCAAAATTTACAATAGGTTCCAAGTTCAGAGGTCCTACAACCATCAACAGAGAAACAAGCATCATCACAGGTCGATGGCGGGGATTCGAGGCATCTCACGGGCTCGAACGAGTCGCAAGTATTTTCCTCGTCATCGGACTGATAACACTTCGAGTCACCATTGTGATATAGTCCAAAGCAGTGACCATCCACCTTGCAATAGGACTGTCCACATCCCGAAGTCTCAGAACAATAATCCTCACAGTACTCGTCAAGGGTAGTCGCCACGTCAGGAGTTGGAGCCGCTGTAGTCTCATCGGACTTACCATCGAAGGCTAGGGAAGAGGTGGCAGTTAGAGCGAGGGTCAGTAGATGGAGGAGCATTAGAGCAAATGTGGCCTTCCAACCTGATGAACTGATGATCGAACTACGACTTAGCCCATCATAACTGGAATAGCGCAGATGTTGTATCTAACCGTTTCACTTTCTCACCAACACGCATATGCATCCTTGGGCGCTCGCGGCCTTCAACAGTCTACCTCGGGTCGTCACGGGTCGCAGCTGATCCGAGCAATTGCATGGTCACAGCGGTCGATTCAGCGCTGCCATACCTAAGTTAAGTAGCCTTCTGTCAGGGAAGAAGCCTCAATCAATAACCCACAATCCCACAGTGACTGTATGGCAGACTGGGTGGGGTCGCGAGACGCCTGACACGCGCCTGGTGATATCCTGCATACTCATTTCTGTACAATCCAGGACGTGTGAGAGATTCTTCTACGACCACAGAAAGAATTTCGAGGTATTTTTCGAGACGATTCGAACCTCGATTTCTGTTAGATAATCATTCGCTCTATAGAACACACATCTGACACTCGTCTCTTCCATTTCGCTTCAAAGTTAGGAGCGAACTCGATGAATTCAGTTCTCGCAACTTTGGTTTAGCTCTCAATGCACGCAGGCCCTGCGTCGCAGGGCTCTCCATGCTGTCGGTTCGATGACTGTGAGCTCCGTTATTCATGAATGGACACGTATGCGGGAACGCAGCCATTGAATATGGAGATTTGACAGTATTCTCCCACGGTTGATCATTCCACAGGTCTCTTACTCTTTTTGAGCGAAAAAAAATGAGTTGCATGAGCGTCAATTGTACGCAAGCACCGACCATTTATTAAGATATTGTCGTGGCTACTTTATTCAACAGCTCAAGCCCTTCTACCAGGCTATGAAATATCGCCCTCTGTTGGCGCTCCGATCGCGGCCTCGTGATGTTACCGCTCAAATGGAACTGTCTCGTTAAGCACCCAACAATCTACGCATCCACACAGCCGATTAATCTCTCAGTTAACTATAGGAACAAAACACCAGCCGAACAGTCACACAGTTTAATCTCACCGATGATCGGTTGTCACGCATTCTTAAACAAAAATAAAGCATTGATCCTCTTACTTGGAAGGGTCAAGCGCATGGAGCGCGAATACGAAAGTCAGCATGTGGGGAATGTAATGTAACAGACGTTGTCAGAGCAGCTCCTATGGAGTGCACTCAGGAGCCTGTATAGTACTAGATCGGAACCTCAGCGGTCTCTCCGGCA